GCTCCCTGGGCAGGAGCCATGGCCCGGCCACCTCCCTGCTGGCTGTGGGTTCTGGGGACCCTGGCGGGGCTCTCAGCTACCCCAGCCCCCAAGAGCTGTCCAGAGAAGCACTACTGGGCTCGGGGAGAACTGTGCTGCCCGATGTGCAAGCCAGGTAAGAGAGGAGACCTTGCCAGGGGCTGGCTGAGTGTGGGAGGGAGAGGACTGGGTTTGGGGTGAAGGGAGGCAGAGAGCGAGCCTGAGCTCAAGCAAGGAGCGGAATCCTGCAGTGCCTGAAAGGCACCACCTGGAAGAGGGTGGAGAAGCAGCCTTCCTTGGGTCTTGACCTTGGACCTCTGCCCACAGGAATGTTCCTCAAGGAGGACTGTGACGGGCACGGAAGGATTACTCAGTGTGATTCATGTATACCAGGGGTTTCCTTCTCACCAGACTACCACGCCCGGCCCCACTGTGAGAGCTGTCGGCACTGTAACTCTGGTGAGATGGGCAAGCATTGGGGGGAGCAACGTGGCAGAGCTGGGTGAGGAGAAGCAAAGAGGAGGGGGAGTCGGAGCCTCAGTCACGTCAAGTCTACACAAGTGGAGTCAACGCTGGGAACCAGGGCGCCCTGGACGGGGCACATATTGATGTGGGGAGAACTCCAGTGTTTCAGGAAAGGGGTCAGCAGAACTTGAGGGATGCTGAGAATGGGTCTACGGCTAGGATCAAGACAATAAAGAGGGGGAAGTGGCTCTAGGACCCCAGATTTCAGCAGAGCAACCCCCGCCAATGAACTGGTTGTGTCTGAGGTGCACGTTTGTTTGGAACTTGGAATACACCTTTCTAAGGAAATAACACCACCGGCCAGTGGCTAACAACCTTTTTTTTGCACAAAAGCCAATTTAGGAAAATGAGTATGCATGTGGCCTGTGTTTTTATTTATTTTGTCATTTCATCTTTTTTAAAATTAAGAAGTGTAATATCTGAAGCTGTTACGAACGCTTTTATTATTTCTCTATTTTAGCTAGAATTTCAGAAATTACGTCCCAGTATACACAGAGAAGCAGACTTTAGAGAGGCTTCTTTGAATAAACGTTCTCCAGCAGGACGCTTCTGAGGACAACTTAAGTGAACTGTTAAACTACCTGCCTGTAAAGCGCATCTGGCCTCACCAGGCCTTTTTATACCGTATTCTCTAAAAACTAAATAAAAGGTTTTGCCATTGCAAATGAGCAACATCTTAAACGCACAAGAAGTATTCCTCAGTCCACAACTTAAAAATATGGTCGTTAACGGATGCTTTTCTCTTCTTGGCAGCCACGCCAGCAGGGCTGGAACTTTTTTAGTCAAAGCCTCCCCACTCCCTCTGCAGGGAAGGCCTTTTCCCAATACCAAGCTGGCCCGCACTCCCTTTGCCATGTTCCAGCCCAGCCCAGCCCGTGACCCTTCTCTGGGAGACGCAGCCCACAGACCCACAGAGCACTCAGGCAGCCCCTGACTGCAGGGCTCCAGGGAGAGCAGCCAGCAGTGAGGGGACCAGGAGGAGGGTGAATGAGTCTGGCCCTCCCTGGACCTCAGTATTCCCATCTGTAAGATGGAGAAGTGCCTGAAATCAGCCTGGCATTTTGTGCACAGGTTATACATGGGGAAGAGAACTCCCAGCTCTCTGGATACTCATCACTGAAAACAATGGCATTTCACCCATTTTTAACCAATCGCAGCCCCTTCTTTAACCCCTTCCTTCCCTTTGGGCAGAGACTCTCATGGTCGCCTCTCCTTGATCTTCTTCACCTTTACCTGCCTCTTCCCCTCTCCACCACCACTGTTCCCTCCCCATCACCGTTCCTTCCTTGCAGATCCTTGTCCAGGCTGGCTCACAATTCCTGGTAAGCCACAAAGAAACCAAATTCTAGTAGCAACTAGGAGTCAGAATTCAGGAAGAAGAGACCATAAGGAGATAAGGATGGGAAGAAGGAATTTGTGTCCCTTTCCCTTTCCTGACCAAAGGCATTCACTGAAGAAATCATGCAAGTCGACAGTAGTCTTTGGCATCCTCCCACCTCCCTCTCTGCACCCCTCTTCCAACTGGCAGGGCTCCTCTCCCTGGGTGCCCACGAGTGTGCTGCCCTAAGCCCACCAGGCTCCCGTTCAAGCCTGGCCCCCATCTGGGTACGGCTGCCTTCCCCAAATCACTCTCCTCTGCTCAACCCCAACCAGCCGTGAGCCCAGCCCAGCCCAGCGCCCCTCACGCCCACTTCGCCCAGTATAACTGATGGGCAGCCACCAGCACCCAACCTCTACGCTTGAATAAAATGTATGTTTTAAAGGTAAAGGATGTCAGTAATCAAGTAACTCTCTAGTAAAGTTAAAAAGCTGTCGGGGACCACAGCAGCACTATTTCTAAGTGCTAAAAACAGGAAACTACCCGAATGCCCATTAACAGTAGAATGGACGAATAAATCCTGGTATAATCATACAATAGAATATGATACAGCATGAGAAAGAAGCAATCTGCAGTTACACTCGTTAAACACAGATGAACCTCACAACGAGTTGAGTAAAAGCAGCCAGACAGGAATGAGCCACACACGCATGATTCCATGTCTTTTGCACAAAAACAGGCAAAACTGACTTGTGGTGTTAGGAAGTCAGGCGAGTGGCTATTCTTGGGGGATTAGTGACCGGAAGGGAACATTGCTGGTCATGTTCTGTTTCTTGATGTGGTGCTGGCTACACTTCTGAGTCCAATTTGTACCAATTCTCAAGCTTCACACTTATACCAAGTGTACCTCACCGTTAGCATACTTCAATACGAAGTTATAAAAGAATCCATGAGCAAGAGAGAAAATCATGTAAGCTGTTTCTATTTCTAAACCAGGAATTTTCTAAAAGGTCCAAGTTTTTTCTTTAACGACAATAATAATAATGGCAAAGGCACTGGGTGACAGCGAGATGGGGCAGGCCTCTGTGGGGAGGGGGTGGGAGTGCAAAGGGCAGCATGTCCCTGGCGGTGGGCCTGGGACAGCGGCTGGGAGAAACCTTGCAGCTCTCTGAGGCCTCAGCATCTGTGTTCCTCGGGCCCTCCTCTGTCCCCAGGTCTTCTCATTCGAAACTGCACCCTCACCGCCAACACCGAGTGTGGCTGCCCCAAGGGCTGGCAGTGCAAAGACAAGGAGTGTACCGAGTGTGATCCTCCTGCAAACCCCTCGCTGACCCCTCGCCCATCTCAGGCCCCAGGCCCACAACCCACCCACTTACCTTATGCCAAAAGTAAGTGCCAGGCAACACTTTGAGCAGTCACAGGGGTAAGGTCGCACCGCAACCAGCACCCTCTCCAGGGCACCCACCCCCACATCAATCGCTGGGTCAGCCTGTCCGCCTTCCCATCTCATCCAGCACCTCTTCGTCCTCTTTGGCCTTCAGCCCAACCTTGCACCCTGTGCATTTCCCCGCTGCTGCTCACCCTGTCTATGGTTTTCCAGAGATGCCGGAGGCCAGGACAGTCCGGCACGTGCAGACTCTGGCTGACTTCAGGCAGCTGCCTGCCCCAGTTCTCTCAACCCACTGGCCACGTGAGTTTTCTCCCCGTTCCCCACTCCCAGAGAGAAGGCATACAGGAGAGTCCAGGACGGAAGCCAGCCAGAAAGCTCCTCGGGGTAAGGGCAAGAATAGGGAGATGCAGAGCCTAGGGATTAGGGAAGGGCTGGGTCCAACGGTGGGGGGGTGGGGGCGGGGGAGGAGGGGGTGGAGATGAGAGAGGAGAGGTGGCAGGAGGGCTGGGCTGAGGGGAGTCAAGGGCTAGGCCCTCCCCAAAAACTGTGTGGCCCTCGCTTATCACAGCCCAAAGGTCTCTGTGCAGCACAGATTGCATCCGCATCTTTGTGATCTTCTCTGGAATGTTTCTTGCTTTCACCATGGTCGGAGCCCTGTTCCTCCATCAACAAAGAAAATATGGACTAAGTAAGAGACAAAATACAGGTCTCCAGTCTTGTCCCTACACCCCAGCCCACCATCTCAGCTCTGCCACCCGTGCCCGAACCTCGCAGAAGCCTCCCTGGCTCCATGTTTACCAACCCTGCTTCCCGCCTACTCTTCCTCCCCTCTTAGCAGGTGTCCTCCCGCCAGCCCTCCCTCAGCTGCCCCTCCTTTGCTCGTCTCTTCTCCCCTCACCCCTTCCCGCACTGCGGCCAAGACTCATCTGATTCTCCTTCTGCAGACAAAGGAGAAAGTCCAGCAGTTGCAGAGCCTGGTCCTTACAGCTGCCCCAGGGAGGAAGAGGGCAGCGCCTTCCCCATCCAGGAGGATTACCGAAAACCAGAGCCAGCTTCGTACCCCTGAGCCAGCACAGAGGAGGAGGGGGTCATCACTCCAACAAAGCCCTAGCCTCCACCCCACCCCACTGGCCACCGGGGGAAATGAGACCTGGCACCCGCAACCTCAAAACCATCCTCTCAGCAGGACCCTTTCCTGTGTGCAGATTTGAGAAAGTGCCTTTCTGAGACGGGCGGTGACGAGGACACATGGCAACGAGGTGGAGGGTGGGAAGCAGGAGCCCGGGTGTGTCCTGGCCCAGCCAGTTTCACCCCTGCGCCGCAGGAGGGCTGGCGCTGTAGTTGGAAAACACGTCTCCGCCTATGAAAGCCCCGCGTGCTGTATCGCTGACCCAGAACCTCGCAAAATAAAGTGACAGACTGTCACACACTGCAGCTCTCCAGCTCTCTCTGAAACCCCAATCTCACCACGCAGGCCACTCCCACGCTCCGCTCTCGGATCAGGGATCTGAAGTAGGAGCTTTCTCCGGTGAAGACCTGGTGCAGGCGCCCAAGGCGGCACCAACAGAAAAGGACAGGTCCCCAGGCTAGTGGGGATCCTGCTTCTCGCTTCGCTCTCCCCGCCCCCCTTTCCGGAACTTCATCTCCATTTTCTTGGGGTTAGTGGGGAGCACACAGGTGCATGCAGTGAAGTCAGGTCTTGAAATCACCAGGGCATGTTTTGGGGGCGGGGGTGGGGGTGGGGGTGGGGAGGGACCTGCAAAGAAAAGAGAACTGTAAACAGGTCTCTGGCACCAGCAAGTAATGGCTTCACCCGGAGGCAAAGGCAGCCGCGGTGACACTTCCTCAAAGTGAAAGCGAAAGAGAAGCAGGCCAAGGACAGAAGAGAAAGCGGCAGGCTGAGGGCCCGCCTGGTCTCGGAGAGCCCCTCTGCCGGCCGGGACCTTGCCGGCGGCCGGCCGCGGAGAAGGGGCGGCGCGCGGGCCGGAGCGCAGCTTTCATGGGCGCCGAGGGCGGGTGCCTGCTGCTCTGCCTGGCCCTCTTGGCGGCGGCCGAGCCCGGTGAGTGGGGAGGGCCGGCGGAGGGGAGTGGGGCTAGGGAGCTCCAGGTAGCCACCCTCCCCGAGATTCGAGATTCCGGAGGGGAAAGGGGCCGGGGATGGCTTCCAGTCGCCTTCCAAGCCCACGAGGACAAAGGCTCAGCGATTGGCAAAGTAACGTGTTGGAGAGGGAGGCTGAGAACCCTGTGGGGAAAAGGCCAAATGAAGAGAAGAGGGGCCTCCTCGGTGATTGGGGGGGGGGGGGGGGGGAAGGGGGGGCGGTGCTGTCCTATGGGAGAGGCTCTGCCTGGGACCGACATCTTCAGAATAGGAAGGGGTTCCCTGGCCAGGAAATAAGTAGGGGTGACCCCGGAATGGGGGAGGGGATGACTACCCGTACCAGCAGAAAGCGGAGACCACGAGGGCTGGCAGGAAAGGCTGCCAACGTCCCCAGCAGCACAACATCCGTCTCCTCCCCCAGTGGCAATATTGCTCATTTATTTGCTTTTGCTGAGAAGTCCCTTGACTGGAGAGTTTTCCATTCAATAGTTGGGAAAGAGAGTAAAAACAGAAACCCCTCTGAGCAAGGCAAATCCAGGATTTTAAGTAATTCACACCAAGAAGTATGTACCTGGAGTAGCAGGTGCTTCCCAGAAAGCTGGTTTGGGGGATGACAGGAGAAGAGAGGGAGACAGAGACAGCTAGGACCCTGGAACACAACTTTTACCCTGTGATGACCCCACAGTTTGGTGACGGGATCAGTGAATACAGAGGTAACTTTGTAGACAAGAGGGCGCTCACCAGCCTTCTCCCTGCAGCAGAAAGGCAGTGGCGGGCAGTGGACGTGGTCTTAGACTGCTTCTTGGCGGAGGAAGGTGGGCGGCAGCATGGAGCTTTTGCCAGCAGTGGGAACATGGTGAAGGCCTTGCTCGTGCTGAGGCAGGTGCCAGTGCTGGATGATGGCTCCCTGGAAGGCTTCACTGATTTCCAAGGGGGCACAGTGGCCAAAGACGACCCACTTGTTACCTTCGAGGCCTCAGGTAAGAGCCCTCCACCCTGTGTCCCAGTCCTGGGCTCCCTCCACTAGGACAGCCCAGTTCCCAAATACACCCACCAGCACCTGCTTCCCATGGGCCCGGGTGTTCTCAATCCAGTGAGCCCTCCGTGCCGCCCTTCTCCCCAGTGAACCTGGTGCAGATCCCCCAGGCTGAGGCCTTGCTCCACGCCGACTGCAACGGGAAGGACGTGACCTGTGAGATCTCCCGCTATTTTCTCCAGGCCAGACAAGAGGCCACTGTTGAGACAGCAGCTTGGTTCATCACCAATGTGCAGGTGTCTGGAGGGGGACCTAGTGTCTCCATGGTGATGAAGACTCTTGGGGATACTGAGAATGGGGCTCTCCGGCACCACAGATGGAACTTGCCCCTGGGCCCCCAGGGGACCGTGCAGACTGCAGGTGAGAAAATTAAAAGCAGCAGAAAGTTTTGTTTTTCTAAGTGGTCAGATAGGAGGATAGAAGGAGAAGGAAAGGAACAAGTCCACCTCTATCGACATCAGTCATTTCAGGGTGTCCCCTAGGCCTCAGTGCTTTCTTCCTAAGGACACAAGATGGGGATGGTTTTCCCCTCACTGGTTGCCTGAGGAAATGAGACACATGGTGCTCTATTTACGTAGGCCCTCTGCAGGGATCTTACTGAGCCAAGCACCAGTTTTCTCCCAGTGAAGAGCCAGCCTGGTCCAGTGCTCAAGATGATTAGAGCAAAGCACGGGGACGAGGAACTTGTTCGTCATCTCTCATTAGTAAAACCCAGTCGTTGCCCTCTCCAACCCAGCACATCCCGGAGGGCACAGGACGTTGAGACCATGATGATAGGTTTCTCCAGAGTTCATCGAATCCAATATTTTGCCTCCAAAAGGAGACAGTCAAGTCCAGAGATGATTAGGGGGCTACCCTCCTATCCTCAGAAAGCCCCCGAATACTTGAACCTTTCTGTGGTCCAACCTCAATTTATCCTGCTCTATTGGAAAAGAGGGGTCCTCATGTCTGTCCACTGTCAACCATAGTCCTGGCATGGATAGATATTGCTCCCTTTTTATTTGGGAATATTTCAAACCTACAGAAAAGGTGAAAGAATAATATAACAAACACCTGTATATCAGTCACCTAGATTCACCAATTGTTAACATTTTGCCATTCTTTCTTTCTACAGCTATACATATTCCCCCCAAACAATTGAAAGTCAGGTGCAGATATCCCAAAACTTCACCCCAAATGCTTCCATGTATATAGCATGTGTTCATTTATAACCAAAGACAAGGATATTCTCCTTCATAATCACAAAACCATCACCTCACAGCAAACCAGGTTGGGGAGTGGGCTGCCAGGGTGCAGGTTAAGGGGGTGCAGTGTGTGGAGAATTTAGGAACATATTCTCACCATTACCCTACACTGGCAATTCTGAACACTATCAGCAATACCTCTCCCTTCCAGGGCCATCTGTTCCACCTCCCCCCAACACTGCTTGATAGCCACTGAGCATCATACTTAACACACTTTAAAAGTGATACAATAAGGGCCAGCCCCGGTGGCCTAGTGGTTAAGTTTGGCGTACTCTGCTTCAGCAGCCCAGGTTCAGTTCTCAGGTGCAGACCTACACCACTCATCTGTCAGTGGCTATGCTGTCGCAGCAGCTCACCTACAGAAAGAGGAGGATTGGCAACAGATGTTAGCTCAGGACAAATCTTCCTCAACAAAAAAAACTTAAGAAGTAAATAATTGAAAAATTAACACAATACTGTAAAATATAAAGTCCAAAATCAAACTTCTCTAATTGCCCCAATAATGTTCTTTACAGCCTTCTGGGGTTCTTTTAAGTCCAGGAGTCCAACATGCATTGCATTTAGGTGTCTTGTGCCTTTAGCCTCTGTTAACTCCAGAAGAGTCTTTCAGAACACTGCCATTTTTTTAAAAACTTTTTTTATTTTTTCTTCTCCCCAAAGCCCCCCAGTACATAGTTGTGTATGTTAGTTGTAGGTCCCTCTAGTTGTGGCATGTGGGACGCCGCCTCAGCATGGCCTGATGAGTGGTGCTAGGTCCGCACGCAGGATCCAAACTGGCGAAACCCTGGCCCTCTGAAGCAGAGCATGTGAACTTAACCACTCGGCCACGGGGCAGCCCCAGAGCACTGCCATTTTGAAGAGTCCATGCCTGCTGTCTTGTAGACTGTCCCATCATTTGGATTTGTCTGACTATTCCTCATTAGATTTAGGTTCAGCACTTTTAGCACAAATAGGCCACTGAGTGCTTTTTAAACTCTTAGTCCTATTTAGTCTTCACAGCAGCCTTGCCTTAAGCAGATGACTTGGCAACACTGACTTGCACAAGGTCCCAGAGCTAGTCAGAGGAAGAACCAGGGTTCCAAAGCTTTCTCTGAGACTCCAGAGGTTCTCACCTGAGGGTCAACAGGAACCCATGATTTTGCATGTGTATTTTCCTGGTTAGAACTCCATAACTTTCATCAGATTGTCCAGGGCAAGTGGCTCCAAAACAGCTAAGATTCCCACGTGTGCCACGCTGCCTTTCCAGAGCCCCATTTCTTTGTGCTTCCATCTGATGGGAAATGAACTCAACCGGCCTCGTTGCCCAGGGGAGGAGGCAGGGGCAGGTGTATGCCCACAGCTCAGAGATCAGGTGACCTCAAGGAGCAAGCAGCCCATAATCACCACTCTTTCTCTCACCACAGTGGAGTTCCAGGTGACAACACAGACCCCGTCCCTGAATTTCCTGCTGGGGTCCTCAGCCTCCCTGCACTGTGGCTTCTCCTTGGCCCCAGGCTTGGATCTCACCAGCGTGGAGTGGCGCCTGCAGCATAAGGGCAGTGGCCAGCTGGTATACAGCTGGACCCCGGAGCAGGGGCAGGCCAAGAGGGAGGGCGCTACCCTGGAGCCTGAGCAGCAACTCATGGCTGGGGATGCCTCCCTCACCCTACCCAGCCTCACTCTGCAGGACGAGGGGGCCTACATTTGCCAGATCACCACCACTCTGTACCGAGCTCAACAAATCATCCAGCTCCACGTCCAAGGTGAGGCCGGGACAGGGGCATCCTGGGGAGAGGGGAAGGCATGGGCCTGTTGGGAATATTTTCCAGAATGGAATCCAAATACAGGGGCAATTTCCTGAGAGGCAGACTGCATAACCCCACAACCTAAACAGCACCGCCATCCAGGAAGCACAGACAGCATCAGACTGTTTCCTGTCAGACCCCAGGATAATTCCACCAAGAAATTCCCCAGCCCAGGATCCTGCTGCCCTGCCATGGCTAGCTGTCTCCAATCACCCCAGTCCTTTGGGACCACATCCTAAGGAGGAGCAGCAGCAAACCGAGGAGGGGCAGCAGGCATGGTCCTGACGGGGAGCAGTGTTTCGTCACTGACATCCTTTAAAATCACTGGCTTATTCTGACGATAAGTAACAAGCCAGCCTTGAGTTGGTTTTACCGTTGCTTTTCAGTTACCTGTGGGAGATGTCCCCATGATGGCCTGCCTCCAGGGTGGGCCCCTCACACTCCCCTTGCACGCCACTGAAGAAGAAACTTCAGCCTCCACATCTATTCTCATTCTCAGCAGGAAGAGAAGGCTTCAGGCAACTCTGCTGTCCCACTGAGTCCCTCTGGAATCTTACTCTTCATTCTTTCTTTCAGCTTCCCCCAAAGTACGACTAAGCTTGGCAAACGAGGCTCTGCCACCCACCCTCACCTGCACCGCTGCTGGCTATTACCCTCTGGATGTGACTGTGACATGGACCCGAGAGGAGCCGGGGGGAACCCCGGTCCCAGTCTCTGGTGCCTCCTTCTCCAGCCTCCGACAAAGCGCAGCGGGCACCTACACCATCTCTTCCTCCCTGATAGCAGAACCTGGCTCTGCAGGCGCCACCTACACCTGCCAGGTCACCCACATCTCTCTGGAAGAGCCCCTTGAGGCCAGCACCTCGGTTGCCCCACCAGGTACTGGGAGTACCCTCCTTTTCCCACCTCTACACTTGGGCTCATGGCTCTCCTGCCCCGAGCTTGCTTTGGCCTTGTTCTGCTTCCCACAGCACTTTGTTCACAGTCCCGGCTTTTTCTTTCCCGAGGTGGCAGCCAGGGCCACCACACACGCTGAGACTTCATTATACCCCAGGTTCCAGGGTCCCAGGGTGCCGAGAGCTGGAGAGCAGCGTTGAGTAACTCCTGATCCTGCCCTCAGGAGTCTGGGAGAGTCAGACTGGGCAGTCAGGGATGATGGCCCGGGGAGACATGTGAGCTGAGTTAGCTAGCTCAGGGGCAAGGGAGCACCCAAGGCAGAAAGAATGGCATGCGTGAAGGCCAGATTATAAAACAGCCCAAAGAGAAGCTGGGGAACTGCGCAGCTGGAGCCACGGGCGTGCGGGAAAGGAGAAGCGGCTCAGAGGCCTGAGAGGGGCGTCCACAACGGAGCCTTCAATGAACCACAGTCTAGACCCAGCACTGCGATGTGTGATCACAGGCATCATCGTGCCTCCGTTTTAGAGACAGCTCAACCGGCACTTACAGATGAGAAAGTAAACGGTTAAAGAGAACATGGGAGAGATAGGCAGCCCGATTCCTCCACTGTAGCCTGAGACCCTCTACTGCCATTAGGCGGCAGATCACAATGGGCCTTCAGCTGGAACTTCATCCTGAAGCCACAGAATGTCATTGAAAGATGTCGAATAGGAAAGAATCAGCACTAGAAATGCAAACGGCCAGGAGCATTGGGCATTATTTGGTGGCTCACTAGACTAAGCTTCCCAGAAACTGGGGTTTTGTCTCAGCTCACAACATCCCACAGCTATTTACAAAATTCCAGTTTAACTGTCAACAACTAATCTGACCTAAATCTCTCTTGCAAAGCAATTTAAAAAAAAACCAACGTTATTCCAAGGTGGGAAGAGGTAGAGAATTCTGTGTGGAATAACACACAAACATCCAACAACCCTGAGCAAGTACGAATGGTACTGTGCGCCCAGTTCCTGAGAACAGAACACTTGCTGCGAGCTCCTCAACCGCGGACGCACACTCACTCTCAAACACACACTCCTTTGTCCCTCCTGCGGGGTGGGCACTGCGGGCGCGGGCTCAGAGACGACTCCTGCCCACTGACTCCCGCCCACGCTGCCCTCACCTACAGAGCAGAGGATGGCCTTTGGAATCCTTGTGGCCAGCAGCCTCTTCCTTCTTGCACTGTTGTTCTTGGGGCTTCAGAGACGGCAAGGTAAGAGCCTGGTCACCCTCAACTGCCCCTGACCCACACGACGTGTAGATCAGCCTGCCCTCACCAGCCCCCCCCCCAGACCTGGCATGAAGCCCAAGCATCCCGAGCTCCAGCCAGCCCCACACACAGCCCTCCGCTCCCGGGGTTACCCCAAATGAAACCAACCTCGTTCCTTCTTGTTTTCTCTTAGCTACCTCACCAAGGTCTGAGGCCCTCTGGGTAGACACTCTCCTGCCTCACAGTAAAAAGGAAGAGTAGTCACGTTCTCCCAGGAGGACTCTAAACCAAGTCCCAGAGCTCAAAAAGGCCCCAAGAAAGGGATGAAGAAGGCACAGATCATGGGGGCCCTGGCTCTGGGTATGTGCAGGCGTCTGCCTTCCCTCAGTGTGTCCCTGGGCTGACCACCAAGGAGAAAACACGAAGAGACAAGAGGGCGGCAGGAAGGCAGGATGTCTCGGTGGTTAAAACACGAGCCAGATTTGAGGTGTGATGGTAGGAAAAGAAAAGGGGAAAAAATTATGAAAGGAACAAGTGAGGGACGGGGGCAAGACGGTGAGGGTTGGGCCACTGCACCCAAATATTGAACTCTGTCCAAATAAAAGCCCCCTGTGGCCTTGGAGACAAAGCTTTTTCATTCTCCTGTCTTTCCCGCGCTGGGCCCCACTGACCCCTGTCCCCAAGCCTAGCTGCTCCAACTTGCAAAGTGCTCCAGGTATGAAACAAAGGCCCCCAGAGGCAGCCCTGGGGCTCCAGCTCGGCTGCTCTGTGTAACCCTGAGCTGCAATTAAGGTTCTCCTTTAGACGGGTGCTGGGTATTTCAGGATACCTACAAACTCCGCACTCCCTGAGGGGCAGGAAAGACATTTCTCTGCTTGTTCATTTCGAAAATGTGCCTGGTCACTACAGTGCAACTTGGGACCAGAAAACTGTATATAAGGAGGATGGGGAACAGGGTGTGTTTGCCGGAGGCCTCATCTGGGCCTGGCCCCTGGGGCAGGCCGGGCAGGCCGAGGACCTAGAAGGAGGTAAATGGGAGAAGTCTGAGGAAACCTGCAGTGTTTGTCAGTGTGAGATGCCCACTCAACTTCCTGTCATCACTTCCTCTCACTAGCACCTAGAAGAGTCTGGCTGCTTGAGGTATGAATGCTGACGGCGGAGACCACTTCCTCTGCCAACACACAGGTCTTTAATCTCGAGAAGACCACAGAGCACACAGGAGCCAGCCCTTCCAGCCTAAAGTAACATCAGACTACTAGAAAGAAACAACACTCCCCCGCCCCTCCTCAGTTACTCCGACCCAAACAACAATCAAGTCAGTTTAGTGGTAGGAATTTGTATTTTTTGCCTTTGTTCAGAATACATGAAATTGATAAATAAGCCACATGCCTTTGGTGGAAACACAACTGTTATCATTCTATACAAGTATGAGATTGGGGTTAGGGAAAAAGACAAAGAGGTGACGACAGACACACAGTGGAAACCCCACATCATCTCATGGCAAACCAAAGAAGGAGGGGATGTGGGAAGCTCGGCTTCATTTGACTGCAAAGTCCCGGGGTTTCGTTGCATATCTGCTCATGCACATGGGTGGTGGGAGGGAAGGGAGACAGCAAAGACACAGAAGAGGGTACTGGGTGGGGTGAGAAAGAAAGTAGAAGGGGTGACATCCCCAAAAGAACAAAGTCAACTACTTCTGGTGTGCCTCAGAGGGATGGAAACCCAGGAAATAATTCCTATGAGAGGGCTGAGTGGGCCAAGAGGGCGAATTTGCTCCAGGCTTGGGACACATCCAGGACAGTGGTGGTTCTTCTCCAGCGGTGACCCCCTGCATTAGGCAAGGAGGAGCCAGAGGAGAGTGGAGACCTTCGAGGGGGGCCGTTGGGAGGGTACACTGACTGCTTTCTTCCAGCTCTTCGGTCCCGCCCTGGGGCAGGACGAAGGGAATGTGGGAAACAGGGGCAAAGGGAGAGGAAGGATGGTTTTGCGCAATGAAATGCTGCTGCATGGAAAGTGAGCATCCAGACTCAGCCCAGCCTGGCCTCAGCCTCTTCCTGCTTGTGGATCAGAGGACGGAAGGAATAAAGGGTCATGGGCGTTCCCCCTTCTGTTCCCAGCCTGCCCTCCTCCCCTCACACCTCAGTCTATCCCACTCAACACCGTGTCCTGAAGCCCAGCAGTGGCTCCCAAGACAAGCTGAGCAGCTCCCATCCTCAGGCTCCACCGTCTGCACCCAGAAACCATGCAAAAAGGAGGAAAGGAAAGAAGGCAAAGTGGAATTCAGGTGGGCACGGGGGGTTTAGAAGAGGAACATACCTTAGGAAGTACAGAGAGGCCCCATGACAACATGGCAATACACGAGCACACCTGTCTGCAGACTGCCCTGCCTCCCACCCCAAGACTTCTGTCAACACTCAGAATGGGCCAGGCCTCAGGGAGGACCTCCTGCCTCATCCCTCTCTTTGGCAAGTACACAGGGATAGTGTGGAGGAAAGGAGTCCCTGAGAGTCCAAGATCCTCACTTCTAACACCCTCACACTCCCTTATCAACGGGAAGGGAACAGGACCTTCCTTAACAAGAGGGCAAGAGGGTTCCCCCGAGCTTGTTATTCTCAAATTAGGCCCTCAACTCACTGTTTTTCTATAACTAACAAGCACTCCCTCTTTATCTAAGCCAACAATTAAAACTAACTGAGCGTCTCAAACTTTGGCTTTATGAAATTATTTGGGGTTCTCATGAACAATCCAGAATTCTGCAGAAAAGGTGGACAAGAGACAGCCCCTTCCAGTTATGAGCTTCTGGGACTGCTTCTAGGATGGGAATGAGGTTGGGTTTTTTTTTGGTATTTTTGCTATTTTGGTATTTTTTCTGGTATTTTTGTAATTAATACATGTTCTCCAGGTCTCTGGAGAACAAAGTAAAAGACTGCAAGATCCCTGAAGACATAGACAATCTTGATCTAAATGGGTATGCCACCAGGACCAAGATGTACTTTGGGCCCCCCTTCAGGCCTGGCAGAGGAGAAGAGCTCCAAGGGATCAGGGCAGCCCTGAAGGAGCCGCCATTTTCCCAGCTGTTTACAGCTTCCTCCTGCCAGCGGCCTGGCCTTTCCTGGTGACACTGTAGGCACTGATATCCTTCTCCTCTCCTGCTCTTGGCACTGTCTTGGGCATGTCACCTCAGCTACGCTCCTTCCCGTTCCCTTGGCCTCCACCTCTTTTTGGCTTTGGGGGAACTTGTGAGCACATAAGAAGGAGGCAAGGAGGAGGCACCAGCTGTTGCTCCTCAAGTAGTTGCTTCAAGACTGCGCCACAAGCAGCATTTCTAGCGTTGAGGGACATCGTGCAAATGAAAGCAACAGCAAAGGAGGAATGGGTGATGGAGAAGCCTGGGCTAGGATGGAGGAAGGCAGACAGGGAAGTTCACTGAGAGAGCAAACAGAGGGAGGGGGACATGAGTTTGGATGGCAATGGAGAACAGGGAAGGGGTGGCACATTCTTAAGTAAAAAAGTAGACTGGACACAGGAATCAGGAAGTCCCAGATGGAAAAGAGAAAGAGACAGGAGAAAACAAGAGGGAAAATTACATCAAGTTACTAGACATTCAGGTCTTTCTGTTGTGGGCGTTCTATCCCCATGGTCTCCCGCTGACCCAAGCCAGTGACAAACAGCACAGCCCCACTCCTTCAGAACAAGAAGGACCGTCTTCCCACAATATCTTGTAGAGGGAAGGCTTGTCCATCAAGGAAGTCCCTTGTCTTTGCCCTTCCTCCCTCCCGAACCAGGTGATGATCCCACAGCAGCCATCTCCATACCTCAGTCAGAGCAGCCCCATTCCCCAGGCAGGCGGGGCTGGGAGAAGACTCCAGGACCTTCCCACCTCTTCACCCCACCAGCAACCTCAGCGATACTTACTTACAATAACTACCACGACGATGGCACAGATAGCTCCCAGCATGATCATCATCTGAGGAAACATTGAGAAGAATGGGCCCATGGATTTGGGGAAGGAGGAATGGAGCCCAGACTCGAGATGTAGGAACAGTACTTGCTCCATCCTTGGGACAGGGGAAGAAACCACCCATCCAGAAGATGTGCAGGCCTCTGAGGACGGCCCAACCCTCTTGCTTCCCGTCAGACAATAACCCCTGCACCACAGCTGAGAGTCTCAGAAACCTCGGAGCATCTACAGCTTGCTCCTTTTTGCTTAGTTCCTGTTGCCTGAAGGCTTTGAAAGGAACTCCAATGGAGGTGCAGACTTGGGATCTTTAGTCAATTGGTTCATTTTCATCGTGAAGTGTTCAGCTCATTCCTAAAAGCCGCAGGTATTTACATACATATCTACCCAGCCATTGTGTCGATGTGGGATGTGTCTGAGGAAGGGCCAGGTGAGAATTTTTCCAGGGGTCCTTTGGGGAAAAGCACCTTGCTAACCGTTTCCAAACTCCTCAGGGTTATCACTGGCTCCCAGTAGGTGATTCTGAATACTCTAGCCTACCCTGGTGGCCAGATCAGGGTAATGCATCTCAAGGAGGCTTTCGAGATTTCCCCCAAAAGTTCTGCAGGGCAGAGATCCTGAGCCACTAGAGGGAAGGGATGTAGAACCTGAGGGTTTCCTTGCCTTCTGTGAGTTGAGGCCCAGGAAAAGAAGTGGGAGAGGACAAGAAAATTCACCTTGCAGTTTTTCCACCAATACTTCCTCTTTAGCTTGGCAGCGCTGCTCTCAAATTGCGACGCTCCCACCTGCAAGGCATCAGCTCGGTCATCCAGCTCTGACAGTATCTCGTCCCTCTTCAGGACTTTGTCCACATTCACACGCATGATGTCTACCACCTGAGAGGGGCACAGAAACAAAGCTGCTAAGCTCCCCGCTAGAGACAGGGGAAAGAACAAGGACCAAGGAATCCTGGGTCTGGCCCTACGTAACTCTAAGGATGCTGTGCCTCCCAGAGCCTATAACTACCCCTCCATGAAAAAGAAAAGTTTCTAAACTTCTATGACTTGGAAATTGTCAGAGAAAAAACTCTCCACCTACCTCTTCCACTTGTGCCTGGGTTTGCTGTAGTCGTCTGTTACTGGTCACATTAGGAGGAGGGCCAGGGGGACCCCCACCTGGGGCAGTCTCCTCTGCCCCCTCGGTGGGTGGCTGAGCCGGAGCAGACCTGTGGAGAGAAGTGGACAGAGGACACAAAGTAACCGAGACAAGAAAGGGTCACATATATTCTCATTCCAAACCACCACAGCACTGGCGATCAGGTTATATGCAAACACAAGAGATTCCAGCTCTTGGCAATATCAAGTAGGGAGCTGCAGCATAGATGGGAAAAAGCAAAAGAAGAAAGATCCTGTAACAACATTTAGACGGAGCTTAGGGACATCCAGGGTGGCATCAAGATCTTGTTTGGGCTATCCTCTGATCCAAACTCCAACACATCTTCTGGCACAATGGTCACAGGGACAAATGTGCCAGCCTTGGCCTAAATAGCATTTCCCTAACTGTCAGAAGCCTTTCACATGAAGTGAAACTGGAAACCTCCAATCCAGGTTAGGAGAAATTCATACAAAAGACTAAACTCTCAGGACAAGCCTGTGGACTGAACAGCTCTTTTTCACAAGGCCGGAATATAAAAAGAAAAGGCAAGCTGACAGACTCTGCTTAAGGTGATCTAGTTATCAGCTATGTTTCAGGAATGATTAGTATATCGGGGCTGCTATAAGGACAACTCAAGAATCACCAAAGGCAAGGCCTCCGCAGGTGGAGTGAATCAGGACTGTTGCTTGCTTTGTTTTTGGCACAGAAGATGGGAGTTTCACTTAGAACTGGGGCCCAAAGCAACTGCGTTAGTTCTGAAACTGTTCCAAGAGCATCGACACGAAGCAAAACCATGGGAAACGGTCCTCAGTGTACACGCATCATGGACATTCTGTCCCTTCCTTTTCTGGATTTGGCACCGAGTCTTGGGAGACTCCTCTAGTTCTGCACGTCCCAAAGAGAAATCCTGGTTTTCACTACTACACACAGAGACCCTTCTCTCTCTCCCTTAGTCCAAGAACGGATTAATCTAATGTGGCGTCTTCAAGATAAACCCCTTTCCATGTCCCAACATGTGGAGGCTAAGTTCACCTCCTAAAGAATTCCTAGAAATCTAAACAAAGGCATGAGACTTTTCTTTCCCAAGGAAGAACCCAATGGCAGGAAGGAGATCTCTCAAATTTGATGGAAAATAGAAATTACAATAAGAAGTCCTCAAACAGGCAGAATCTCACCAAACATACCTCCTGGGAGCAGTCCAAGAGCAAATGCACGAGGGATTAAACCACCACAAAGTCACCAGAAAGGAAATACTTTGACTACTCACAACAGAACTAATACCCAGAAGTTCCTCCTCCCTAAGTGAATTACTTTCAGTTTAAAAAGAGAGAGGCCGGCCTGGGGCGGAGTGGTTAAGTTCATGCGCTCCGCTTCGGTGGCCCAGGGTTTCGCTGGTTTGGATCCTGGGCGCAGACATGGCACCACTCATCAAGCCACACTGAGGCAGCATCCCACATAGCACAACCAGAGGCACTCACAACTAGAATATATAACTAGGTACTGGGGTGTGTTGGGAAGAAGAAGGAAGAAGAAAGAAAAAGATTGGCAACAGTCGTTAGCTCGGGTGTCAATCTAAAAATAAATAAATAAATAAATAAAAAGATAAGAGAATAACCACTCAGAGAGGTTCTACTAGCAGATTACACCCAACTCACCCCATTTAAGGAATCACTTTCTTATTTCTTTCTAAGCCACAAAGGAGGCAAAGGAAAGAAAGATACAAAGCTATGGAAGCCACAGGACTCTTGTGATACCACTGAGCTAAGCAATCTAGCTCTCTGACTGAAGGTGGAAAATTCACTGAGCAGGTAGCAGCCGGTGTTTGGTCTTGGAAGCAGTCCAGGATGGTGGCACCAACAACAAGATTAAGGTCAGAGACCCCGTGATGCTTTTTCCATCTTCTTCCATTCATCCCACATGGGTGCTACTGGGAACCAGTCAGCTGAGATGGATCCCCCTCCCCAAAATGAAAACAAATGAAATCCTAGGGCTTGGTCAAAATGCACAGAATATCATATACAGTTACAACTGCAGCAGAAGTCAAATAGATAAAAAGCGAAATGGTTATGAAGCATTTGAAGGGACCATTTCACTTACTCTTTGTTGGCAGGTGGGAACATTCAGCAATAAAATACTCAGGGATAGTTACAACATTTACGTAACATAAGTAAATCTTTTCCCTTTTCTGTCACTAAGAGAAATGACAGAAATATATCTAGGATCAGAGAGGACTCCAGGCAGTTAATAAAAAAGAAAAATCTCCATTAAACATATTGTGGTCCTAACAGGGAAGTACTTCATTTGTCCAGCGGTAGCTCTCCCTCGGGATCTTGGGATGGGGTCGTGATAAAGATGGTCAGAGACTATATTGAATGTGTTGGGAGAAGGCAGGGATCCTCAGCTCTATTTCTCTTCCAAATACTTGGCTAAGACTCAGTAACAGGAAAACACCTCCTATACGGGTGGCCCTGCGATGAATGGCTGCTTGGAATCACATGTCACTGCCCCTTGAGTCTTTCTGAGCTGCTCACCTGGCGCCAGAGAACTGGCAGATAAGTTTCTGGAGCTTTGCTCACTGCCAAGAGGCGGGGTACACGCCACAGTTGGGGTGAGGGGCATACACAAACCCAGAGACAGCAGGGTAGCCCAAGCTACTGACTGACAGGTGCACCTGTGACTGTCTTTCCAGAGGCCCTAAGTACAGATTCAATCTGACGACGAGAAAGGGCCTCGAGCCCCCTACCCGATGTCTCTGCGCCCCACCTTCGCCTTCCCCGGAGCTCCACTATACCGAGACGGGAATGAGACGCCCAGCAGGAGAGAGGAGAGGTGCAATGAATGTGGGACCCCCACGCCCCTGCCCCGCCCGTGGGATGCTGGCTATGGCTGGTGCAGGAATGGGGTACTGCCTCCCTCCCGGGGGGTGGCCCGGTCTTGGGGCCGCGCGCGATGGAGGTTCCCCGCGTCGCTGCAGCTGCTGCAATGCGCCATTTTCCGTCCTGCAGAGTCCGGTGCTGGGGGTGAGAGTTGGCAAGGTGTCCAGCCCCCAAATCAGTCAACTCACATTTCTCTGACAGATGGGGGAGGCGTCCGTCTCCTCTCCCGAGGCTGCGGCGAGACACCTGGCAGAGGAAACGCTGCGGCTGAAGTGGACGTAACCCCAGAGCTCCGCCTGCAAACAACCAGCTGGAGCCCCAGCTGCGGCGGAAGCGACTGCAGCGGCCGCGCCGCTCCCAGTCTTTATTAGTACTGGCCACGCCTCCCGGAGAACGCTGACAGGCCCGCGGCCCAATCGGCGCCCGGGACAGGCGCCCAGCCGAGGCGAAGCCGGCTAAGGCCGAGCCCGCCCTGTCCCTCCAAATTGGCCAATCACAGCTCTCCTCTCATCCCGCTATTACAACTATGATTTGCTTACCTGTCTAACTAAGCGACCGGGCGGGGCGGAAATATACACCACCCTCTGCAGGGGCGGGGCCAACTGTTTAAATTAGGCCTGTTTGGGGCCTCCCAGCCAATCGCAGCAGTTCATGAGCTGCGGGCCCGCCCACGGCCCCCGGGCGCTGGCCGTTCCAGCCAATCACGCCGCCTTCGCCGACGGCCGTGGGAGGGCCCCGGCTGGCTGTCGCCCCGACCGTAATGCCTGGGAGGGGCTGGGCGTCCGCGTTCGCTCACGGCTCTGGCGCCCACACCTGGCGAGCGATGGCCTCTGCCTGCCGGACCCGGACAGCCGGCTCTGTGGAGGCAGAACCCATCCAGGTAGAGCCGAGGCTCCTGGGACCAAGTCTCGGGCGCGGGGTTCGGTCGGACCAAAGCAAATACGAAGGCTTCGTTCGTCCGTTTCCTTCGACGCAGCCAACAAGCCCCTCGCCAGTGTATCCTGAATTGAACTTCCCCCCACAAAGCCTACTCCTATCCTACCAGACAGGTTACCACGTCGATTCGGTTGCCCAGAATCCTGAACCAGAAACCTGGAACCATCCTAGATTTCCTCCCACTTCATCTTTACCCCTCCTCTAATAATTCACCACGTCGAGGCGATTTTTCTCCTTAGAGTTTCAAGAATTCTCTCCTCTCAGCTCTCTGTCCTACTTCAGATTATTGGCCCTTGCCTGGACCCATAAGCTATGAAACTCACCATTATTTTATGTCCCGCTAAGAAAAAAGGTAGCAAATAACCTGTGACGCAATGCTTTCTTATCACTTAGAATTTTCATTTTATATTTATTGAAGGTGTAGATTTATATAGTATAGATTACCATATTTCACTCTCGCGCATACATAAAAAGGAAAATAGAAAAGAATAACATGCTAACACTGTTCCACAAACTTCGCGTTCAGAAGCTAACTCTTACGATTCAGTTGTTTGACTCAGTCTTGGATGTCCATGATTTTCCACACAATTTAGTCCTCTGGGCGTGGCATCGAGGGCTTTGGTGATGCAGCATTTCTTAAAAGAGTGTTCCTCTTCTGTCTCTGGAATTTTCTTCCAAGCCTCAGACGCCCATTTGGCAAGTTTTGATTCTTATGAGTAGGTATGACAAATACAGTATGACTGCTGTCTGGCTAATAGTTATAGTGAAACATCCCAATTTAGATATTAAAATGAAAAAAAGTGCCTCTTAAAAATCAATGAAATGTAATTTTCTGCTTTAGTCTTGCTCTCCCTCCTATCCACTGTCTGAGAAACCACCGGGGTGATCTATCCAAATGCCACAACCTGGCTTAAAACCCTTAAACAATTACTCTTAGAAACATAATGGATTGATCATATCTGTTTATCCCACCCCCTCTTGAAACTACGTCAAAATGACAATTTGTAAAAATTGAAAACAAATTATAAACCCTCAAAGAGAAAAAGAATGGGAGGAATTGTTTCTGGCAGTATGAACACCTGAGTATCCCCACCAATTCACCCCTGAAAAAAAACTTACAATGGCTTAATTTTTTTTGAAAAATTAAGGCATTTTAAAACTTAAAAAAATAATAATTATAGATTTATATGAGGTGGCAAAAAAAAGTACAGGGAGGTTCCCCTATACACGTTCACTCAGTTTCCTGTGATGGTAACATCTTGTATGACCACGGTACAATGTTAAAACCGGGAAATTGACGTTGTTACAATCCACAGAGCTTATCAAGATTTCACCAGTTTTACACGCCTTCATGCGTGTGTGTAGTTTTATGCAGTTTTATCACATGTGCAGAGTCCTGTAACCATCACCGCAATCAGGATACAGAACTATTACATTATTACAAGGCTTCCTTGTGCCACCCCTTTACAGCCATACCCACCTCTATCCCTAACCCCTGGCAACTGCTAATTTGTTCTCCATCTCTATAACTTTATTTCAAGCATGTTACATAAGTGGAATCATATCATATGTAACCTTTTAAGACTGGCTTTTTTCACTCAGCTTAATGCCCTTGAAATCCATCCAAGTTGTTGTATGTATCAATAGTTTTCATTACTGAGTAGTATTCCATAGTATAGATTTATAACAATTTGTTTAACAATTTGCCTGATTAAAGGACATTTGGACTGATTCCCGTTTGGGGCTATTAAAAATAAAGCTGCTAGGGGCCGGCTTGTGGCCAAGTGGTTAAGTTCACACACTCCGCTTCAGCAGCTCAGGGTTTGCCAGTTCTGATCCTGGGTTCGGACCTACGCACCCTTCATCAAGACATGCTGTGGTGGCGTCCCACATAGAGGAACTAGAATGACCTACATCTAGGGTATACAAATACGTACTGGTACTTTGGGGAGGAAAAAAAAATAGAGGAAGATTGGCAACAGATGTTAGCTCAGGGCCAGTCTTCCTCACAAAAAAAGAGAGAGAGAGAGTGAATAGGGTGTTATTTAAAATAAAATAAAATAATAATAAAGCTGCTATGAACATTTACGTACAGGTTTGTGTGAACAAAAATGTTTGCTTCTCTGGGATAAATGCCCAAGAGTTCAATTGCCAAGTAGTAAGGTAATTGCATGTTTAGTTTTATAAGAAACTGCAAAAATGTTTTCCAGAGTGTCTGTACCATTTTAGATTCCCAAGAGTCTATGAAGGATCCAGTTTCTCCACATCCTCACCAGCATTTGATATTGTCATTATTTCTTATTTTAACCATTCTGATAGGTATGTAGTGATATATCCTTGTGGTTTTAATTTTCATTTTCCCGATCGCTAATCATGTTGAACATATTTAATGTGTTGATTTGCCATCTATATATCCTCTTTGCTGAAAGGTCTGTTCATGTCTTTTGGCCATTTTCTAATCAGATTGTTCGTTTTTTTACTGTTGAGTTTTGAGAGTTCTTTAAATATTCCAGATAAAGTACTTTGTCAAATAAGTAGTTTCTCCCAGTTTATCATTTGTCTTTTCGTCCTCTTAACGATCTTTTATAGAGCAAAGGTTTTTAATTAAGATCCAGTTTATCGACTTGTCCTTTTATGGATCACACTTTTGGTGTCAAGTCTAAGAACTGTTTGCCTAGGCCTAGATCCTGATGATTTTCTCCTATTTTGCTTTCTAAATATTGAATAGTTTTATGTTTCACATGTAAATCTGTGATTTATTTTGAGTTAATTGTGTGTAAGGTGTGAAGTTTAGGTTGGGGTTCATTTTATTGTCTCTGGATGTCCAATTGCTCCTTGACCATTTGTTGAAAAAGCAGTCCTCCTTCCATTGAATTGCTTTTGCACCTTTGTCAAAAATCAGTTGGGCATATTTATGTGAATCTTTTTCTGGGTTCTCTATTCAGTTCCATTGATCTATGAGTCTATCCTTCCACCAATAACACACTGTCTTAATTACTGTAGCTTATGATAAGCCTTAACATTGAGTAGAATTATTTCTCGCACTTTATTCTTTTCCAAAGTTGTTTTAACAATTCTACGTCCTTTGCCAAAAAGGTGCCATAAAAAATGTGTTTTTGAGCTGGCAAGAAAGTAAAGACTCTGTAATGACCAACAACTAAGTAAAGGTTGGTACCCGGAGAGGTAAGCTGAGCACTGAAGTCTGTTTTGCCTTGAGGGCACTGCTAAACCGTTGAATTTAGGCGTGGTGGCCTCCCAGGGCTTGCCCCAGGTTGGAAATCTAATAAAAGGCTCCTACCATAAAGCTGGAACCCCAAAGGACTATATTCTCCTGTAAGAGTGGATTTACAGTATGCTAATACCCAAACCGCCCCTAGGGAACTGCCTAAAAAATTGCTTTTCTGGAACCTAGGTGCCTACTGGAGATCTTGTTTTTCTTTTAACTATTTACAGAGAATTTATAACCACAAGCTGTGGCTTTTCTGCCTGAATTCCTTTTTGGTCCTAAAAACAAAATGGCAAGAACTTAATGTGGGGGGCCTGCCTGGTGGTGCAGCGGCAAAGTTCACACCATCCACTTCAGTGGCCCAGGGTTCGCTGGTTCAGATTTTGGGTGTAGACATGGCACCGCTTGTCAAGCCATGCTGTGGCAGGGGTCCCACATATAAAGTAGAGGAAGATGGGCATGGATGTTAGCTCAGGGCCAGTCTTCCTCAGCAAAAAGAGGAGGATTGGTAGCAGATGTTAGCTCAGGGCTAATCTTCCTCAAAAAAAAAAAAAAGAAGAAGAAGAATTTAAAGTGGTTCTGGGTTGACAGTGCCACCAAGCACCTGGCAGAAGCAATGCAAATCCTCTCCAGATGAGCTCATTTTCAATCTAGGCCTTGGGGAAATTCCACAGCTAGTGTTCCAAGAAATATAAATTGTGGTCAAAAATTGCAAACAAATAAGGCACAAGGTACCAGGAGCAAGAGCCAACAGAGATAGAGATAGGAAATAAGAAAATTAGAAAATCAAGCCAAATAGTCCAACGTCTAATTAATAGGAGTTCCAAAAAGAGAAAACAGGATATGAGAGAGAGGGAGAGATTATAAAAGAAATACAAGAAAAATTTCCTGAATTGAACGAGTCTTTCTAGATTAAATAGTGTGCTATGTGCCTAGCACAATGAAAGAAAAAAAATCACATGAAGACACATCTTTGTGGAATCTCAGAATATTAGGGAAGAAGAGAAGATCCTAAAAGCTTTCAAAAAGAGAAAATAAAAGGAACAGGAATCAACATGGCATCTCAATGCACTATTGGAAGAGAGAAGACAATGTGGCAGAGACTTTAAAATTCTGAAGAAAAGTGATCATTAACCTAGAATTCCAACCAGCCAAACTATTAATAAAAGATGCAGGTAGAATGTAGACATC